GCCCAGGTGGGTCTCGACCCTGCGAGCTCAGGCAATCCACTCACCTCAGCCTCCCAAAGGCACGGGATTACAGGCTGAGCCACCGAGCCTGGCTGCAATACATTTTTAAAAAATTAGCCAGGCATGGTGGTGCGTGCTTGTAATTCCAGCTGCTAAGAGGGCTGAGGTGGAAGGATTGCTCAAACCCAGCAGCAGGTCAAGGCTGTGGTGGCCGTGAGTGTGCCACGGCACTCCAGCCTGGGCGACAGAGTGAGACTCTGACTCAAAAAAAAAAGGAGACACTTGATCACCTTGCTACCAATGAACAGAGTAGATACGTGCAGTCAAGTCAATTAATCAACAAGCAACAGTTATTCACATTTTTAGCTACTATTTAGCGCATAGTTAGTGCCAGTCACAGTGTCTTGCACACTCATTTTTTTTCTTTACAACCCCTTTCAGTGAGAGTTGAGTGCAAAAAACAGAACCTACTCAAGGTACCTTAAACAGAAAGTGATTTGATACAGGGCATTGGTTGGGGGCGGGGAGGTTCCAATCTTTGGGAAGTTAGAGCGTGTACTGGAAGCTGGGTTTGCAGGAATGGCTCTCAGCCCCTCTAGGAAGCTACTCTCTCTGATGGAAGTTTCCATGATTATTGAGTTCAAGGACACTTGTGAATGTAATTTTTGCCATCCCGGGTTCTGCAGAACATGCATTTCCACCAAAAGGTGGGCAGACTGGAGGATGGAGGTTGACTGATCCAATGCACAATCTCCTCACAATCCAATCTTATTGCTACTTAACACCCATATGCCTCATTCCACCAATACTTCCGTTTACAGACATCAGCTCAGCAACGTTCTACGTGACGATGTAGCTCTCCCTCCTATAATCGATGCCATGTTCACCTTCTCCCCAAAGTCCATCATCGCCGTGCCATCCATCTTCTATTCAGTCACAATCCCACCTTGATATCCTCTCTTTCAAGGTCTCACTGTCAAGTCCACGACCGTCAAAATGCCCTATATAAAGTAGTCTAGGAAAGCCAGAGCCAAAAATAGAAAAATTGATTAATAGGTATACCTAGCAGAGCTGTGAAGAAAATCAAGCTGTTTACCACAAGGCCATTGTTGAAAGTTCTTAGAAATTTCCTTTCATGGATCCACTCCATGTTTCTTGGCCTTTCACCAGCACGCCAGCTGACTGTGGCTCCATACCTGGCAGAGCGACCAAATCGTATTCCTGAGGGGTCTTAGGCCTTGGGGATCTTCCCTCCATGGGACTGCTGTGGTCTTGTGTTGACATTTACCACTGGACATAGCAGCCAGTGGGTTTCCTGGGTAATAGATGACCTCCTTCCTATCCCCTTGTGTCACGGCAGCCCTATTTTTCCTTGATAGTCAGAAGCAACCTCCCTGTCCAACACAGAAGCCTCCTTGTCGCCTGTTGGTTCATGGTCACAAGAAGCCCCGTACGGCCAGGTGACTGTTTTGGCTTTCAGTTCCATGGAACCACTGTTGTATCTCTTGTGGGGATCAGTCTTCTTTTGGTCCTGGGACCTCCAAACCCATGAAGGTTACTTCTACCCAAAGGATGACTTTACAGCAAAAGAAGTGAGATGGTGGGCTTATACTCATGGAATTCACAATGTAGCCAGCAGAGCCCAAAGTTGATGAGATGGAAAGCAACAGCTAGCAGCTAGGTCATAGGTGTCATGGTGAGAGGAGCCACTCCTGTTCTCACCTCTTTGTTCCCAGCTGTCTGGAGTCTCTGAAGAAGCAGCTCTCCAACTCAGTTGCTCGTTCAAGCACATGTGAGCGGAGGACCCCAATAAGCCCCAAATTATCTTTTGACAAGCAGGGTTAGGGTTAGGGCTAAAGTGTTCTGGGAACCTATCGACTTTGGTGTACCAGCTAGCGTTGTTGTGAGAGGCTGCATTGGGCTACAGTGAATTTTTTGTGGCAAACAGGTGACTGGTTCTTCCATCATGACACCACACCTGCCCACGCTGTGCTGAGTGGTCAGCAGTTTTTGACCAGAAACATCATGACCCCCGTGCCCCACCCTCCCAATTCACCTAGTCTTGCACTGAGTGACTCTTTTTTGGTTTCCCTGGATGAAAGAAGGGAAACATTTTGCTAATGTGGAAGAGGAAAAAAAACAAAAGGCAGAAGCACTAAAAGGCATCGACATGGATAAGTTCAAAAACCGTTTTGAGCAGTGGAAAAGCATCTTGATAGGTGTATTGCATCAAACGAAGAGTACTTTGAAGATGACTGAAGTTTAAACGTGTAAACACAATTTTTATCAGTAAGTTCCATTTTGGAGGGTCTCTTCTTGTATCATACCCTGTAAGACACATCTCAACATCTCAACATCATAAAGCGCATCGTAAAGTGCAGCCCAAACCTGATCTTCCATAGAATGTTCCACTCTTCTATAACTAATTTATAGAAATTAGAACTGTTTGGGGTGATGGCATACATAGGGAGTTCCACTGGTATGAGCCCATTGTTGTACATCCTCTGCTGTAAAATCAGTTGTTGGGGTAGGTGTCTTCTTCCTGGGTTTTGGCGGTGAGAACAAGGCATTCAGTGGACGGTGGTACTGAGACAGGATGGTGGGCAAAGGAGCCAAGTCCACCTAGAAAACGAGTGTTTGAGCTGGGTTCGGTGGTTCAGCCTGTAATCCTGCGCTTTGGGAGGCTGAGGTGAGTGGATTGCCTAAGCCCGTGGGTTCGAGACCCACCTGGGCAATTTGGCCAGACCTCATCTCTACAATAAATAAAAAAATCAGCTGGGCATGGTAGCGGGCGCCTGTAATTCCGGCAACTTGGAAGGCTGAGGCGGAAGGATCGCTGGAGCCCAGCAGGTCGAGGCTGCGGTGGCCAGGAGCATGCCACTGCCCTCCAGCCTGGGCGACAGAGTGAGACTCCAACTCAAAAAAAAGAAAAAGAAAACGAGTGTTTGTTCCAGTGAGGACAAACTGCTGATGCCACCATTATAGAGAGCTTGAACATTGTTGTCTTCCCAGCAGGAGGCTGGCTGAGTCCCTCAAGGTACGACCCAAATCATGAGCACTGGTCTCTGCTCTTGACTGATCAGGCCCGGAGCAGAGGTGGCAGCTGGATTAATAGGAATGAGTGGAGCTTCTGTGGCTGTCCACATGACTTTGTCACTTGGTTCTTGAGCCACCTGAGTGTGCTGTGGGGTGGCAGGAAAGAGAGAAAGATGACACCCCAGGAGCAGGCTGCCTTACCCACAGGAGAATCACCTTTCAGTGAACACTCACTTGAGATACAAATGTTTTCACTCTCTGGGCCCGTTCTGAGAGACCCAATCACAGATTCTTCTCGAGACTTCTTGTCACCTCTCCTTCAGCCCTGTTCTTCCAAGCCCCTGATTGTCAGAGTGAACTGCTCACCGCCACCCATCAATGGCTATAGAACCTCTCACCATTGCTCCTTCCATGAAAAATAGCCAACCCAATCGTACTGTCCCTTGGGCTTTCCTTTCCCACTGTCCTTCGTGGCCCTCTGAGTGGGTCTGTCATGCCACAGAAGTCAACTGTTGGTCATGTCAGCAAACTCTTGCAACCGTCTGAAAGCCGGAAGGAAATATTTTCTTCTTCCGTGAGTCAGTGTAGGGGATTCCCAGGAGCAGGTGAACTGGGGGTGTGAACCACCTGCTCAAGAAACTCACACTCAGTTTGCACTTCTTGAGTCTAATCTAGTCCATGTCACTTCCACCTGATAAGTGTGAATGCTGTCAACACACCACACCTGCTTTTTGGCTTTACGGAGCACATGGCACCTGATTCCGCTGTATTTCAGCAGCCAGCAGAGCTAGCTTCTGCATCTGAGGATTTGTCTATAAGAGAAAAGAGGGCCGAGCTTGGTGGCTCAGCCTGTCATCCCAGCACGTTGGGAGGCCGAGGCGGGTAGATTGCCTGAACCCACAGGTTTGAGACCAGCCTGAGCAACTTGGCAAGACCTAGTCTCTACAATAAATAAAAAATTAGCTGGGTGTGGTAGCACGCCCTGTAGTTCCGGTTCCTTGGATGGCTGAGGCAGAAGAATTGCCTGAGCCCAGCAGGTTGATGCTGGGGTGGCCGTAAATGTGCCACTGCACTCCCGCCTGGGTGATAGAGTGAGATTCCAACTCAAAAAAAAAAAAAAAAAAAAGAGAGAGTGAGAAGAGAGATTCTTTGAAAGTGGTTGTAGAAGCTCCTAAGTCCTCCATCCATCCTTGAGGTGAGAACTTTGACCTTGAACTTGCCATTTTTAAAAAAAGTCAGAGCAGCCAGCTCACTCCATAGTCCTTGCAGCTGTCATTCTCATTGTGAGAGTCTATCATGGCAGCCAGGGCTGGGTCCTGCTTTCAGGAAGCACTGCTTTCTACTATCAGAGGGGATCACATAAGAATTATTTTGTTGCTGTGTTGTGTCTTGGGCTCTCAGTGTTCCAAACATCAGCAGGTTATCGTCACCTTCAAACCCAACCAGGTGAGATAACAAATTCCAGATTCTATTGTCTGCAACCATGTCCGCTATCACACACGTCTGATGTCATGTATGTCTGATGTCATACACATGGCTCAACACAGGAAACAGAATCCTCTCTCAGCATCTTAAGGAGGGCTTGATGCTTAAAAATTCACTGAAAGGCTGGAGGAACACAGGCTGGGTTCTTGATGAATGTTCCCAGAATATCACAGAATCCACCTGTTAGGGCACACACCTCCAACACAATCAGGAAATCGGGTTTTCGAGGGTCATCTCTGGAATTACTGAGCTCAGTGTCACCCCACCATTGTCGGAATTTGGAATGGGAAGGTCGTGGGCCACTGTCTATGGGTATTCAGGAGCCGGCACTTGGATATTAGAAAAACAAGGGCAGATTTTGCCATTTTAGCTGCACACTTGCCTCGACACCCTTGACTTCGTTTTGCTTGTGGTCATCATCAGGCTCAAAAAGGAAGAGGGTCTGTGCTTTGTGTCTTGTCTCAGCGCACCTAATTGGTGGGACCTATTTCATGTTTCGAACATGCGCTTCAAGAAATTTGGGGAATGGGCCGGTGGCTTTCTAAATTCTGCAGAACCAGGAAGCTCACCAGAAAGAGAGGAGGACAGACATGACTAGTCTAGGGCATCGCATCCACCACACGGACTCATGATATGATTATCCCCTTGGGACAGGTGAGAAAGTGAGACCTAGAGGTCTCATTAGTGCATGGCTGGTGGACGATAGAGTCAGCATTAATGGTCTCAGAGTCATTATGCAAGGCTGCTTTTGTGCACTGACGATATGTTAGCAGGCACTATGTAACATCAACAGACTTAAATAAGACTAGGTGCCTACCTTTTGTTAGCTCACAGGTTAGTGGGTGCGGTGAGGGAAAGAAAGCAGGGCACAAAATAAGTGAATTAGAGAAGACTACACCAAGACTTATTGCAGAGCTATTAGCATTTCTGTAGATATAGTGATCTAATTTCTCCCAGGAAGGTTCCATGATCGTCAATTTGCAGGTCCTCTACCAGTTGGGCATTCTTGGTAATGCTCTTTTCCCCATGGCTCCTAGAACCTACCTCTCCTTAGGGATGGGAGAGTCATTTGGTCTTGAATTATTTCTTCCCCAGAGAGTCTTATTCCCTTGAAGTGTGGCCACATCTGTACATCATCACTTGGGTCATGTTTGTATTTGGACTAGAAGTCTATATTAAAGAAGAAGTGTAACTGGTAGTTTTTTGGTTTTGGTTTTTGAGAAAGCAAGATTTATGGAGAGGACAGAAAACCTCCCACAGTAGGAGGGGGGGTTGCCCAGCATCTAGTAGCTTAAAACAAACTTCTCATTAACTGGGCTGAAAGATCTGATGTGTAACAAACTTGTATGTCATTTTTGGGTGCGAGAATGTAAGCGTTATCTCCCTGTTTTGTTTTGTTTTTTGGCTAATGAGTGCACTCTTCTCATTTTAAAAAAATGAAAAAGAACGTGTTCTGCACTTTAAGGATGGAAATACACACGCCCCCCGCATTGCTAATAACAGCATAATGCTGTCAATAGCGCACACCCTCTGATTTGCTAGGGCCTCTGGGGCCAGGGACCTGTGTCCTGGAATTGACTCCAGCCATGGTATTGCCTGCTCTGAGCCCAGTAGTGAGCCAAGGACATCCTGCTGGGGGGTCTGGGGGTGGGGTGGGCAGGAGCCTACAGACTATGGTAGGAACCTGGAAGGGAAGGGATCCCTGTGGGAGAGTGATGCCTAGCTCCTCTCCACGCTTCTCGGCCAGAGGCAGGAGCGACGGACTCAGACTGCACCAGAAAACATGGAAGGGACACCAGAGAGGACCCTCCATTTGGAAGAAGTGAGGGGAGAGTGAACCGGTTCTCTATGTGGAAGCTGGAGGACTTTCGTGTTCAGTTGCTCTAGGAAAAATTAACTTACTTTGTGCCGCTCTCACGTGCTAACCTGTAAGCTAACTGAAGGTGAGGACCTCGTCTCATTTGGCTGTTAACTCTATGCAACACTCCATGTAGTTGTTCATGGTAAATGCACGATAATTCAAAAGTCTCCCTGCAGTACAGCTCGGAAATCATGAATGCTAGCTCTATCGTTTGCCAGCCATGCCACTAATTTTTGGAGGGTGGATGTGTGGATTCATACAACAGTATTCCAGAGGGTCAGTGTGTGGATTCAGCAATGATATTCCGGAGGGTGGGTGTATGGATTCGTGCAACCGCATTCCAGCGGGTGGGTGTGTGAGCAGAGGAGCAGCCTAAAGGCTCTGAAGCCTTTTCCACCAAAGGCACCTAGAGTGACCTTCCATCTCAGGTCTCACGCCTGGTGGAGGGAGAGGTGTCGACAGAGAGGGAGATCGTGGTAGGGGACCTCAGTCCCCATGGGTGAGGGAGGCATCTTGGGAGTGGATGAGCTTCTTCCTCAGATCCGGGCGAGATGTGCAGAAGCCAGGAAAGGGCTGGAGAGCTGGGCTCCTTCCTCCCGGGGCATCAGGCCTGCTGACCCCACGCTCCCTCCTCCAGGTGGACTCCCTGCAGGCCCTGCTGCACAGCCCCTCCGTGCTGGTGTGCGCCGGCAACGAGGCCTTCAGACCTCTGGCCACGGAAGATGCCAGAAGAAATGGGATGGAAGCATCTGGGCTGACTTCAAGGACCAAAACCGGTGAGGTGGCCTTCAGGTTTCCCTGGTCTGATTTGCACTGAGTGGTGGTTCAGTAGGGCTGCATAGATGTCCTTTCCTGATTCTTTGGGAAACCTGCCTTTGGCCCAACTCTTAGGTATCCTAGTCATTTTGGGGTCTCTTTTGCCTCTTCCTTCTCCTCATCATCAACCTTCAACGGGGCTGGACATCTGACAGAGTTATGAGAGAGCAGAGTCTGGTGTTTAGATAGAACAGAGCTTCGGAGATCTTGAACTTAGAGTTTCTAGGATCTAAAAGAATTTGTATTAAGAACCAAGGTGGGCATGACACCACAGCGGTGATGGGCCATGCCATGTGGCATTGGTATACTTTGGGAGTCACGACTGGCCCAGGTGACAGTGGGAGCCTGCAGAGGGGTCAAAGGATTAGGACTAACCATGACCATCAGTCACCCATCCATCATCTGTCCACCCAGCCAAAAGCCTCCACTGTGCCACAGTCTGGGCTATGTTATTTAAAAACAACCATAACAGCAGACCATTATTTTTTAAAAGTACGATCAACAAATGCAGAGTAAAAGTTGAAGCAAAATTGCTAGAATGATAATGGGGAAATTTGGCGAGTAGATAAAGTACTGTCTTTTGTGAAAGCTAAGAAAACACCAGCCATGGTTTTGCGATTGCCGGATGCCAGATGCCTTTGTCGGAGGTACAAAGACACTTCAGCTCAGGCCCCTTTCCTGGGGGAACCCCCAGTCTCACATGGTGCTTGTGGAGATGGCTTTCAAGTTTCCCCAGTCTTGGCCAAACCTTGGCCAAGACCTTCTTCTGTCCAGATGTGCGCCCATGGTCTATTCTTTGTTGCCCGTGGGCTCAGTCTCTGTCAGCCCTGCCCCCTTGCCCATGTCATCCTTTCTTAGGGTCCCTCTTTTCTATCCCTGGCGGTCCCTTCCTCTTTGTCTAACAGCTTGTGCGGGCCTAACTAGCAGGACCTGATATTGTGCATCCAGGCTTTTTCTTGCAATCAACCCAAGAGTTTGATGAAGGTTTGGGGAGTGAACCATCACTAATCTCTGCAGCTCATGTCACGGTTTATAATTGGGGCCCTCTGCAGCAGCCCTCTGGGCTGGTGGGGACACGAGGAGGGCTCCACTAGGCCCTGGGCACTGTTGTTCTGCCTGCCAACCCTGCCGTCTCTCAAGGACCTGGTCTGTGCCAGCAAACACACAGAAAGTTGCATATGCAAGAGCATGCATCAAATCAACGTGGCAAGATCGATATTATTGTGCTCATCCTACAGCTCAGAAAACAGGCTCTGCCAAAAGCTGCCCAGCTGGCATCAGACTGAATTCAGACTCGAGTTCATCCTTCTGGGCTCTGGCGGTTCATGGTCTGGTAGCTCTGCGTACAGTCATTCTAGAAAGTCCCTGCCCCGATATTTATGAGGCGGTGGTGCCATTCAGGTGGTGGAGGCTCGCGGCCACTTCATTCTTTCCTCCTGATGTTGTCCCCAGCAGCTCACTGTCTTTTCCTCCTTTCTCTTACTCTTCACCGTGCCAGGGACCTGGGGACCGAAGGCCAAGCAGAGCGTGATCCACTTGAGATCCCGGCCGGGCAGCAGGGCACAGCCGCCAGAGGCAGGGGGTCCTGGCCCCAACAGGCAGGACACGCCCGCCCAGCCTGGGCACTGGGTGGCTGGGGACGACATGAAGAAGAAGGTCTGCATGAACGAGGACGGCAGCCTGTCCGTGGAGATGAAAGTTCGCTTCCACTTGCTCGGAGGGGACACGCTCCTGTGGTCCCAGAGGGTGGGGAGGGCCAGCACCCTCACCGCAGCCAGTGAGGAGGGCACCGAGCTGGGAGAGATGGGCCCCCTCTGCTATGCGTGGAATGGCCATCCAGGGGGCTGCTCGGAGCCCGGGGCATGTGGAGCCAGGCCCTGTGCTGCAGGATGCCAGGAAGCCTTTGGCCGGGGCGGGCAGCTGGGCCCCAGGTGCGAGATCTGGACAAATCCCCTTCATGCCTCCGGGGGAGAGAGACCAGCTTCTCGGAGGAGGTGGGGACTGGCCCAGCATTTTTGCTGCAGGGGCCCCTGGACCCAAGGGGCCGCCAGCAAGGAGAGGTGCAGCCAGGATAGCACCAGCCTGGCCTCCAGCGCTGGCCACCCTGAGGGCTCCGAGCCAGTCTCTTCCAGCTGCCCCAGGACCCTGGATGGCGGCGTGGGCGGCATCGGCCTCTCTGCTCAGAGAGGGACAGAGCAGGAAGCTGTCAGGGGCCCCAGTGGGGGCATCCAGGGGCAGTGCAGATGCCTGGCACGTGGGGCCCAAGGCGAGGACGGAGATCCCTCCGATTCATCAGCCAGTGCCAGGTCTCACGAGGTGTCCAGAGCCTGGGGCTGCCGGGGTTGCCAGGGCAAGGCGAAGCCCAAGACTTCCCAGTGGGAGGCCATGCAGCGAGGAGACCCCGGATCTCCCACTCTGAGTTTCTCGTCTTTCAGGAATGAAGACCCAGAGGCAGAAATGCATGGACAAGGCAGTGGGCATTCCTGCTCCTGGGACGAAGAAGAAGGCTCCTCCCCACTTCCTGCCTGTGCCTTGGCCCAGCAGCTGGGAGGGACGCAGAAGAGCCTGGCTAGGGCCGTGTCCTCACCCAGCATCCCTGGCCTTGGCCAAGGGGCCCAGAGAGGCCACGCCAGGCAGGATCGCCCCCACAGGGACTCCCACTGCCCACTGAACTCGCCTGCAGCCAAGTATGCCCCGAGGCCTCCTGGCCAGGGAAGGGCCTGCCCGGACAGCCCAGCGCCACGATTTTCCGGAAGCCCAGTGGGCACCAGCACACGGGCCTCTGGGGATCTGAGCCCTCCCTCGTCGGGCTCTTTCCATTCCCAGGACCTGCCAGGAGCCAGCAACGCCCCCATCACACCTGCGAGCGACTCGGAGGGTGCCCCTGGCGAATACTCCCACGACGCTCCCTCTGCTGGGTGGGCTGGGGACGCAGGGTCTGGGGCGTGCTCAGTGGTCCCCAGGCCACCCCAAACACCGCGCTCCGGCTCGGTCAGAACCCCCGAGCTTTCCCCGCCGTCGGGTCGGCACACTGGACGGGCCGGGTCAGGGGATCCGGGAGCCCCCCCAGGCCCCTGCTGCTCACAGACGGCCCCAGGGGCCCCCCGCGGGCCCTCCTCTTCTGAGGCCCCCTGGGCAGGCAGCAGGTACTGCCCCACCCCTCCCAGGGGCCGGCCGTGCGCCCGCCAGCGCTCTTCCAGCTGTGGCAGCATCCACGGTGCTCCCTCAGGGCCGGGTGGGAGCCCACAGGAGGCGGAGACACCCCCAGGGAGGGCACACGCCGGCCTCAGGCCCCAACTCCAGGGAGGCTGGGAGAAGCATGCCCAGCTCCAGAGGGAGGTCTGGGGGGCTGTCTCCGGGGAAGGATGCACAGGGTGGGGGAGGCCCGGAGGAGCAGGGCCAGGGTGGCGGCGTGTCGCCTGGGGCTCTGCCCCAGGCCTCGCCAGAGGCCGTGGTCCGCGCGTGGCTGGGCAACATCCCCGAAGAGCCCATGCTCGTGAAATATGAGATGGTGGACGAGACCCCCCGGGCGGTCGGAGAGGTCCTGGAAGGCCCCGCAGAGGACCCCGGGGACGACCCTTCTCCCAGAGGCCTGGGGGAGGTGGCTACATCTGGGCAAGGCCCCCTGGAAGTGGAGGCCAGGAAGACCCCAGAGCCAGAGGGAGCGCTCCCGGCAATGGGGGATGCCGCTCTCCGGTCGGAAGAGGGTCCTTCCCAGGGGACAGCTCCGAGAGGGGTTTCTGGAGCCCCAGAGAGGGCCGAGGCGGGCCGAGGGGTGGGCCAGGGTGTGCTCCCCAGCAGGGTGTCAGCATCCGCCCAGATCATGAAGGCCCTGATGGACTCCAAGCAGGGCCGGCCCAGCAGCCTGCCTGAGCTGTCCAGCCCGGTGGCCGGGAGGCTCAGTCGCTCAGCCGGGGCCCTCATCACCTGTCTTGCCAGGCTGCGGTTCTTTGACGACGACCTTGGGTCTCCTGCTGCCGGCAAAGGGAGGCTCACGGATTCCCCTCGGTACCGGGAGCTGCTGAGTCTCTCGCAGGCCCTGTGGCCCGGGTGCGACCCGGGGCGAGGCCAGCTGGACGCTGGCCTCCAGGAGGCTACGTGGAGCCCTTCAGGCCTCGGATGCCATGCCGTGACCGAGGACCTCTCGCCCACGTCCTCCTCGGGCGTGGACGTCAGCAGTGGCTCTGGTGGCTCTGGCGGCTCCGGGGAGAGCAGCGTCCCCTGTGCCACCGACAGTGCCCTGGTCCCTGAGAGGACAGAGCTGCCCCTGACAGTCTCCTGCCAGACGCCTGGCTCTAGAACCTCAGAGAACCCGGAGGACCTGGGAAGCAGGCAGCAGAGCGGTTCCCCAGCCGCCTCTCTCCCCCAAGCCCTCGCTTGCGGCACCAGCATGGATGGAGCCGAGGGAGGCGGGGAACAGGCAGCCGGCGAGGGCTTGGAGCAGCTGGTTGCAGGCACCGGGCAAGATGAGGGGGCACGGCCAGAGGGACTTGACGAAGGAGGAGAAAGGGAGACGCCGGAAGGGGGTGTCAGAGAGGAAGGGCTTTCAGAAGGGACTGTCGGCAGCGGGTGGACACTGGCAGGGGCCCGAGCTCCATGTGGGTACTCAGAGGATGCAGGGAGAGTCGCTGGCTCTGCAGAGGGGTTCCCCGTTGAGAGGAGAGAGGAGCCCACTGAGCCCCCCAGTCATCTCAGGGCGGGGGACTCCAGTGCCAGTGAGGGCCCGAGTGGTCCCCAGCTGGAGCCCGGTCTGGGAAGGCCTCCTGGAGTTGCCGAGATGGAGGGCGTGCAGACCCAGGCCCCGCCTGCCCCGGGTGCCGGGGAGAAGCAGCCTTCTGGGGTCTGCAGGGCGTCTCTGGAGGCCGACCCCATCGGGGTGTCTGCGCTGCTGAAGAAGATGGAGAAGGCCTTTCTGGCCCACCTGGCCAGCGCCGTGGCCGAGCTCCGGGCGCGCTGGGGCCTGCAGGACCACGACCTGCTGGACCAGCTGGCGGCCGAGCTGCAGCAGGACGTGGGCCAGCGCCTGCGAGACAGCACCGAGAGGGAGCTCCGGAAGGTGCATGGCCGGACAGGGAGGACGGCCCTCCGCGGGGAGCTGTCCCTGCAGACCGAGCAGCGCCGGCGCCGTCTCCAAAGCCTGCACAACCTCTCGGCCTTCACTGAGGGCACCTTGAGCCCGGGGCCCCGTTCCCTCACCCTGGAGGACGGACGAGCCCTCAGCAGGGCCCTGGGGACCCCGCCGCGGGGCAAGGAGGCCGAGGGGGAAGAGTTCTGTCCCTGCGAGGCCTGCGTGAGGAAGAAAGCGAGCCCTGTGTCTCCGAGGAGGCTGGCTGTGGGGGCCGCCAAAGCCCCCATCCAAGAGGCCTTTGACCTGCGGCAAATTCTGCAGAGGAAGAAAGGCGGGCGCATGGACGGGGAGAAAGCAGAGGTGGCCCCTGAGGAGCCAGGGACAGAGCCGCTTCGGGAGGACGTCTCGGGGACCTGGACTGGCCCGCGAGCGGATGGAGGGCCGGAGCTGGGGCTCGACCTGAGTCCTGGGCTGGAGGAGCGGGAGGCAGGGGAGGGGGGAGAGGAGGGGGGAGAGAGAGAGGAGGGAGGAGACAGGAAGGTGATAGCGGAGGGGAATGT